ATGTGATAACAATGAAAGGCTATGACATGTTTACAGTGCTAGTCTCTGCTATAGAAACTCTTTGACATGAGATTTGGGCATATGATATTTAAGTTTATAGCCCTCATTTTTCTATATTTATTTGCCCATAAGGTATATTAAGGACTTTAATTCTATGAGTCACCCTTTAGGATGAACCTTGACGATAAATTCTTGACCAAAAATGGTCCACCTATCCCATCAATCCCTGAAGGATTGCTATGACGTTACTACGAGTCAAGTTCTTTTTACCCAAGTCTAACTCAATGCATATCACAAATCAATCCCTCAAGGATTGTTATACCCCCTTTTTCACCTAGTACGTGGTTTCAGAAGTAACATTATTTTCCTATCTGCGTTATTTTATTTGCGCAGTCTATTTTATATCATCATCACCACAACGTACCTCTAAAAGGGCTATCAAAGAAACCTCCGTCTATTGATTAAATACCGAAAGCCCATGATAGGGGATCAATGCATATAATTGGGTACGTTGACTGCATTCCTAATGAAGATTGTTTCTCGGCATTAGGGGGAGATAATATACTACTCCGTAGCTTTTTGGAATGCCAAGAAATTTCATAAGAATAAAAACAACTTCATTATTTAATTCCATGTACTAGTTAGATTGAACTGGAAGTTCAAAAGATAATCTATTTGCGATTTTAGCAAATAATATGCCAAATACATCTATTGATCATAATGATCATAAAAGAAGTGACTAGGTCCTATATCCTTGGACCAAACATATCTATCGATACTCCTTGACACTAGAAGTGTAGGAGATCTATCGGTGAAAGAGATATGGATCAAATACTAGATCTAGTAAAGAAATATTCTCACTCTTGAAATAGCATTGAACAATTATGTCATGCAGATGTTCGTCCAGATGACGAAAAACCCTAGTAAAATTTATAGGTGCACCAAACAAACGTAATACTAGGGATGCGGAACGACCATATCAAAATATCTTTGGGAAATGTCTAGAATCTGGTTATTTTTAAAAAATTGCCATTAACTTTTACAAATATGGAGACATTTATAAAAATGTTATAGTTGTCGACAACACAATTGCCATTACAAATTGCTTGTTATATAATAATATGGATCCAGAATTAGGCACCGGAAGTGTTATAACTATTTAACGTATAAAGGAGCAATTAAGGCATAGCTCGACTCGCTAAAATGAATAAATTCTCTTTATAACAATACACCGTTAAGCGTTAACCCTGAAGGTTACAAATGAGTGTGTACATGAAAGGGAAGTAAAAATAACAAGGTGATATGAAGCGAGTTTGTAGCCTATGGGTCCATGCAGAGATCCTTAATTGATTTTAATCAAATATACTCTCCCACAGTAAATGGTATTAAGTTCCGTTACATAATACAATTGGCAGAATAATAAATTTAGATATGCAGTTAAATTTATTTTGAGAAATCCTGGATGGATTCATAATTCTCGAAATGAAGATTTATTTAAATATTATTATGTGTCATTATTTACTCTTTAAAGGGTTGCAAATGGAGTTAATATCCTCATTGAAGGAATAATATGTACCATTGTGTGCTCGATAAAGGGTTGATAATGAACTTATTTATTATTTATTATTTATTATCTCAGTCAAGATTGATGGTATAAACATCAATGAAATATATAAAGAGTTTGATAATGTCAGTTCATGTTTAAAGACTGAGACTTTTGAAATAAAAAGCTTATGAAAGCTATAAGTATTATCTCGACTTGAAGATCGAGTTTTTCTTTGAAGATTTTTTTTATATACACCAGTCAGCCTACATCTAAAAATGCTTTTTCACATGTCTATATGCATATAAGTGTCATGTTTTTATCAAACTAATGGTTGCCTAATAATCTCTTGAAGCAGATAAGGAACCTTTTTGGACTCGAAGTCCCTTACTTCATTATCGCTGGAGCACCATTATAGAACCAGAAGTTCTATAATCGCAACATATTTGCAATGAAATTGCTAGCAAAATTTAGTGCTCCTCCTACATATGAAGTACTTGAATAATGATTAACATATCCTCCGGTATCTTCGAGATACAAAGACATGACATTTATGTAAGAAACCATGATAGGGTTTTAATAGGCTACTTGGGTACTGGCTGTTTTGTTTGATCCCCGCAATGCCAAGTCCAAACTGGTTATACAATGAATTTCCCTAAATGTTCAAAATGAGGACAATAACACTTGTGTTGCACAAATGTTATATGAGCTCTAGAAGAGCCATAAGATTATTGTACACTACTCTAGTGACAATCCAGAAGATTTGTCCAATCCATCTCTTCAAATTTTGAAATATATGTAAAAACTTGAAGATTGTTATCTTCAGGGGGGGGGGGGGGGTGGACGGGAAGTACATTTACTCGAATCAATCCGGAAGATTGAACGTAAAATCCTGAAGATTAAGTCATAAAAGACTCACAGTTGCGCACTATTTGCAATACAACGGGAAGTACATTTACTTGAATCAATCCGGAAGATTGAACGTAAAATCTGAAGATTAAGTCATAAAAGACTAACAGTTGCGCACTATTTGCAACACATAAATACATAAATATCATGTACTCTTTTCCTCACTAGTTTTCTCCCATTGGGTTTTCTAGTGTGGTTTTTAACGAGGCATGAGTATGATATAGTAATGACAATGGGGAAAAGTTGCAAAATAATTGCTTAAATGGACAAACCCCAAAATCCTGAAGATTATGCAGTTTGCGCCCTGAAGGCTTATGGTTGTACTCTTTTTCCCTTAACTAAGTTTTTCCCACGGGGTTTTCTTAAGTTAAGGTTTTTAATGAGGCGACCAATACAATATATGTTTTTACATATATCATGTACTCTTTTCTTTAACTAGGTTTTTTCCCACGTGGTTTTCCTAGTGAAGTTTTTAATGAGGCATGAATGTATGCTATCCATATACCTTGTACTCTTTTCTTGTTTAGGTTTTTCCCACGGAATTTTCCTAGCAAGTTTTTTACGAGACAAGATCGTGGTCAAATAATGTCCAAGGGGGAGTGTTATAAATAATATACATATTGTGGACATTATTATCCATGTTGTAACAGCCATATTGTAACTGATGTACTTATTCCTATTTAGTACATATTTATGCTTACCTTGTGTGTGTGTGTGTATATATATATATATATATATATATATATATATTGTCATAAGAATGGCTGAGTATGAATAAGAAATCTGCATTCACTCTCCATTCTCTGGTCTTCCTTCTTCTCCGATTCTTACTTGTCTTTTCTTACTTTAACAGTTTGGTTAATTTTGTGAATTTATGTTGTAGGCTTGTAGATATGTGATGAATTTTGCATTTAATTTAATAAAATAGTGTAAAGGTTAACAATTGTAATTATGTTTTGTTGTAACTTGCATTGTAAGGAATGTAATAGAGTCAATAGACTCAAAAAAAAAAAAAAAAAAAAAAAAAAAAAAAAAAAAAAAAAACTTGCAAGGAATGTAGTTTTGGCAATCAATGAATAACCTTTTGAATATGCTTGATGGTTTTAATTGTTCAAAGTAATAAGTAATTTAGTTTTTTTTTTTTTTTGAATGCCTACTGACCCTATTAGAGATAATAAATCATGACCTTCCACATGGAAAATTTACATACAATCTAAGCACAAGATGCTTGACAAGTAATTTAGTATCTATTCACTTATAACCGATTATCGTGAAATATTCAAAATTTTAGTAAATTTATGTTTGAATAATTATTTTGAAATACATTAAATAAATATTAATGTATTTAATTTCATACTTCAACCATAATTGGCCCTGTACCATTTAATTCTGACTCCTGTCCCAATGGTGAAAGCAGCCCGAGCGAAAATTTCAACCTAAGATTTGACGTTAGGTTAGATAGATAGAGGATAGGACCATAAGGTGACTGTCGAAATTAAATGATCTGGCTCCAGCCAATTGGCAAATTATGTTGTGGAATAGTGTCCACCTTACATGGTAGATATAATTTTAAAACTATTCATAATTATGAATATATAGTTCAAAAATTATAAACATATAATTCTATAATTATGAACATAGAGTTGTGAATATAATTATGAACATATAGTTCTGTAATTATGAATACAGAGATTTAATAATTGTGAATATAAAGTTTAAAAATTATGAATATATAACTTTATAATTATGAACATATAGTTCAGTAATTATGAACATAGAGTTTTGTAATTGTGACTATAGAGTTCAATAATTATAATATGAAGTTCAAAAATTATGAATATATAGCTTTATAATTATAAACATATAATTTAGTAATTATAAACATAAAACCGTGTCCACCTTACAAGATGGATACGATTCCACACCGTAACGATTGGTGCTAATCGGTGCTTTTTTGTCAAAGGGTTGAACTTTTGTCCCCAAATGCTATGGCCTACAATGAATTATTTCCCCCCTATTTCAAGAATTCAAATTCATTTAAAAAACTTTTTTTTCCATCATCCAAACAAAAAATAAAACCCTTTTTCTCAAATATTAGGAATTCCATTTCCATGGAATTTATTTTTCTAGCATATACTAATTGTATATAATGAATTGAAGGATTAAAAATATAATTTTCTCTATATATTATTTATTTTACTTTTGTTGCAAATTAAATATTAGGAAATTACGTCAATCATGAAGTGTGATTGCATCTCGATTACTATTGGATCATGAGTATTTAAAAATATATATATTAGGGAAATGTGAATCTGATTGCAATGACAATTGACAAATGTAATTTCGAGGAAGATATTGAGTAGACTAGTAGAGAAGAAATAGTAGAACCACGTACTACTCCATCGATCCAATAATGAGTATATATATATATATATATATATATATATATTCAATCTCTAACTCACACTGAAAATCAGAACATACGTACAGATTAGGTAGGGATCGATGGCAAGATACTATTTTGTGGCGGATGATGGTAGTGGTTTTGGTTTAATGATGATGTTTTGCGCGGTTGTTGTGTCTGCCATAATCATAATTCTTATGCTTATCTTTGCTTGTGGAGACTCTAACAACGTCGACGAGGATGTTAGGACCCAGTGGTCTCCGAACATCATAGCACCATATTCAGGCGGTGCAGCCGCAAATGGTATCATCTCAGCCGCGGCCGCGGCTAATGCGGCGGCCGCGGTTGATGCGGCCACGGGTTTCCTCTCAGCCATGGCCACGGCAAATTTGATCGCATCAGCAACTGCTATGGGCGGTGGAGGCGGCGGCGGCGGCTGTTAAATATGTATGTATGTGTGTAAGTGTATATGCGTCTATATATGTGGTTTATATATTGTTAAAAATAAATATACTAATACAGGATCATACTAAACTCCAATTATTAGTTCTTGTATTGAGTGATCCGGATTGCTGTAAGAGTTTTGTCTCTTAGTTCTACTCAATTTTTTTTAGATGGTGTAGGAAATATGTAATGTGAGTGAAAGGATTTGTGATTTTATTGGTTATGATATTGTTAATTGTTAGTGCATTAATTATTTTATCAATTGATGAGGTTATACAAGATCAGAGCTTTATCAATTTTATTTATGCATGGTAATAAAAATATTATTTTCACTAATTACTAGTTTGCAACATGTTTAGTTACGGGAGAACCAATTTTAATTTCTAGAAAAATAGATATCAATTAAAAATCAAAATTCTCTTTTCATATTTTCATAACTAACTATTTTTCAAATATTTTCAAACTTTTAAAGGGAAAATATCGGATTTTACCATGAATTGTGGGCTAATAGTTAATATCTAATTTATTTTTGTATGTACATTATCTCCTTTCATCAATTGTTTCAAAGGTAGTGATTTCCCCTCATCTCCGTTATTGCCTCCATTTGAACAATTAAATGCAAGATCAAAATATAAATTTCAAATAGAAATAAAAGGGCAAGCTTGTAATATAAGGAGGTGTTTGGTATTGGAAAAAATACCATAAAATGACATTTTAAGCGGTTATTTTGTGGTACAAATATTAGTGAGGTCCACTTCCGATTTGGGTCGGGTCGAGGTGGATTCGGGTTCTTCGTTGTGAGACGAAGAGATTGATATATTATACGCTCAAAACGGATAATAGGTGAATGAGAAATTGATTCTCAAAATAGACTCATTTGAGTTGCAAAAATGAAGGCGGGAGACTTTAAAGTAACATTCGTCTCACATTGGTTTGGAAAGTTGGTTTGCACCACTATTTAATTATTTATACAAGAACCTTTTTAAGGCTTATTGAATTATATAGTATAGAGACGCTCTCTCACGCGTATGATGGGTGCAAATCAAATTCCAAAAAAAAAAAGGAGTCTGAAAAGGCTTGACTCATGTATGCCGGCGGCACTTGCGGGCATAAGTTATGCCAAATGTTCGTACCATTTTTCCAAACACAACCACTCGGTTCGGCCAACCAAAATCATTGGCGAGCCGTTGGGTCGTTGGCTCTGGCAGAATCGTTAACCTCTTGGTACCTCTCATCTCGTAAGTACCACTCGGGTAACAACCGTGCAGAGTTTTAATTAATCAGTTTAGGAATTAATTCTCACATTAATGGTCAGCTGTTACAGGAATTACAAGACTGATTTACTATCAGTGTTAATGCCATGTTAAATGATATTAATCCTATAACTCCTATATAAGTTGTAGTAGATCAGGTGAATTGTAACAACTGAAAATCCTAAGTTTTTCCCTCTCGAACACATGCTCTTCTTCTTTCTTGTCATCTATGTTCTTCACATGCTCTTGTTCACTGGGTTCTAAGTTTTTTGAGTGCTCAAAACTTAGAACCGTAGTATATTTTATCCTATGAAACGTAAGCCACAACCCTTCTAGAACCTCTGGGAGGCGACAAATAAGGTTTTAAGAAAAAAAATGCTTCGCTCGACTCGTACCAACCACCTACTTGCAATATCCTTTCGTCCCTGTGATTGTAAGTTCGACTTGGATCATTCTTTTCTTATCAAGTGGGGTTATGTTTTAAACAAATAAATCCCCCATATATATATATATATATATATATATATATATATATATATATATATATATATATAGTGGTAGAAGTGTTAAATAGGCCAATCTACTATTGCGAAGTGCTCAATTCCCACCACGAACTAAATTAAAGTCTAATCAGCTACACTTACCACTTACCAGCTAAATTTATTCTATTGACTTTTTTTTTACAGGTTGCTAACCGGTTGCCTATTCAATTATTTAAAAAAATAAAAAATAAAAAATAAAAATAAAATAAAATAAAATATAAAAGGAATTTCAGCCACCGACTGTCCGGCGAGGACAGGCAGTAGCTGCGTATTTCAGAGACAATCGTGACTGTTTGACAACCACGGCTGTCTGTGAAATACGCCCAACAGCCCAGCAGCGCAAACAGCTTCATGAATAAAATCCCAGCCTAATTCACGCATTTCAGCATTCTCCATAACCAATAGCCCCTTCTTATTTTGCCAGAGAGCTCAGCCAACATATAAGCCAAAATCCTCAAGATTTCAAGAATAATTCTGCCCAGCATGTGGTAGAATTAATCCCATCAGCAAGCTCATTAGCAAATCTCCATTGGACCACCAAGCTAGGTGGACCACCTTCATCAAGCCACCATCACGGATATCATTCATGGACCCTTCTGCAGCAAAACACCAGATCATCATACAAAGTGAGCAAACAATTACAACTTGCATCTAAAAGGCTAATCTAAACAAGTGACATGCAACTACAAAACCCCAGTGGCCTGCATGCTATAGAGACCCAATTCTGAATTTCCCAGGCAGAGCATGTCCCAAAGGATGATACAACCCTTACCATTCCAAATCCAACCAAACAATGAAATTTATATTCCCGATACTTTCTTTTCCATCAACCAAATAATGGAATTTATTTTTTTAGAATTTATTTTTCATAGAATTTCAATTCTATTTCCATTCAAATATTTTCCAGCGAATCAAACAGATCGTAAGAAGCCTCGGCCCAATTGGGGCTATTACAAGGCTTAGACAATCTTGATACAATGTTTGAGAAAGACGACTACATAAAAAGATGTGAATCCATATGATGATGCATGTAGAAGAAAAGGACCCTTATTTATAGTGTCATGGAATTTGAACTTGGTGCAAACTAGTGATCCTAAGGCTCTTAAATACCACATCCACACGCATATCCCAATTACAAGTAAGGGTGTGCACTCGGTTAATTGAATCGAATTAGCAAAAAATTTTAAAACTTTTAAGGTTAATAGAATTCAACTTTTTATATACACATATATATGCTTTTGGTCCCTCAGTTCACCATAGTGGAGAATGCTTGTCTCCAAAAAAAAAAATGCAGGTTGAAGTAAACTAGTGGGTTGGTTTCTGAGTTGAGCATATACATATATATATATATACATATATATATATATATATATATATATATATATATATATATATATACACACACATATATATGCTAATACTGTAAAGATACAAAATGTATGAATATATATACATATGTGCTTTGAAAGGTGAATATATTTAGAGAATGGCCCTCTGATCAGATGAACTTAGTCTCAATTCATCTACTTCATGTTATAAACACTTGCATGTACTGATTTTTCATTATATTTTGATAGATCGCAGCCACAGCCGCATCGGCACTTTTGATCATTTGATGTTAGTTTATTGTATCAGTTGGTTTGAATAGATGATTGCACAATTGCTTATACAAGTGTGCCTCATACAATTCAACTTCTTTTATAAATAGCATTTTATTCAAAGAGAGTAGTTTGATAATTTTGAAAACCATTTTAGAATCTAAAGAGAGTAGTTTGATAATTTTGAAAATCATTTTGGAAGCTAAAAAGAGTAGTTTGACAAATTTGAAAATCATTTTTGAAGCTAAAGAGAGTACTTTGATAATTTTGAAAATTATTAAGGAAGCTAAAGAGAATACTTTGAAATTTTTGAAAGTCAATTTGGAAGCTATAGAGAGTCCTTTGATAATTTTGAAAATTATTTAGGAAGTTAAAGAGAGTAATTTGAAATTTTTGAAAGTCATTTTAGAAGCTAAAGAGAGTGCTTTGATAATTTTGAAAATCAATTTGGAAGCTTAAAGATAGTACTTTGATAATTTTGAAAAACAATTTGGAAGTTAAAGAGAGTCCTTTGATAATTTTGAAAATCATTTAGGAAGCTAAAGAGAGTACTTTGATAATTTTAAAAATCATTTTGGAAGTTAAAGAGAGTAGTTTGATAATTTTGAAAATCATTTTGGAAGTTAAAGAGAGTACTTTGATAATTTTGAAAAACAATTTGGAAGTTAAAGATAGTCCTTTGATAATTTTGAAAATCATTTAAAAAGCTAAAGAGAGTTCTTTGATATTTTTGAAAATCATTTTGAAAGTCAAAGAGAATAGTAGTTTGATAATTTTAGAAATCATTTTAGGAGTAAAAGAGAGTAGTTTGATAATTTTGAAAATCAATTTGGAAGCTAAAGAGAGTCCTTTGATAATTTTGAAAATCATTTAAGAAGCTAAAGGGAGTACTTTGATAATTTTAAAAATCATTTTGGAAGTTAAAGAGAGTATATTTTGATAATTTTGAAAGCTTAAGGGAGTACTTTGAAATTTTGAAAATCATTTTAGGAAGCTAAAGAGAGTATTTTGATAATAAAATCATTTTAGGAGCAAAAGGGAGTACTTTGAAATTTTGAAAATCGTTTTTTGAGCTAAAAAATTATTTTATAAACTAAAGAGAATACTAATAACTAGCAAACCTCCTATTTGACATTGATCTAGCCCTATACAGTAAACACAACCTTATATAGAAATTACTAGAGCAATCAAACATAGAATCTTGCGCTATACAGTAAACACATCTAACATTTAGAGAAGCATTAATCAAAGAGTATAAATGATAGAAGATGTTTACCTCAGCTTCCTTGTACCCAAATTTGTAAATGTTTTCTGCATACTCCACAACTGCAACTGCCAACTTCAATCTTCTCCTTTGGTAATTTAATGTTCAGTGCACAAGCAGCCTATGCAAAAACAATAAAAGTGCAATTATTCAATCAACAGAAACAAAAGACTTCCATTCATTAAGAGAGATGAGATCATATGCATTAAGAAAAACAAAAGCGGTAACTTTCCCATGTTTATCAACCCAAAAGGTCTACGGATAAGCAGAGCTAATAAAGAATGCATACTATGAAAATCTTAATATGACTATAATTATTTATTATGGTCCCTGCAAACAAACTAATAATTATTGAATTATTTTTCTAGGAGACAATCTGTCATAGAAAGATCACCATTCACTTAATAAACTATTACAGCAAATGCTCTTTTCACCAAAATATCACACTGTGGGGTGCAGGTTGCAATCCATGATTTAAAAATAAAAATAAAAATAAAAATAAAAAAAATCACCAGGAAAGAAAATATCAATTCAAAACTAATCTCCTCAGCTATTAGCATTGCAAGAGAGAACAAACAATTATCACCAAAAACTATTGGAAAATTTGCCAATATTATCAGGAACCAGAAAAATGATTCATCCAGCAGTTAAGTGCCTCTTAAATGAAGATAGTTGAAAACTTGAAACAGAAAAGCGAATGAATCATCAAGCAGCAGGACTTAAATAAGCATGGTTACACGAAATAATCTTATCCATAACGGTTTATTTTTGCTCCTATAAAAGACTGATTCTCACCTCAAACTCAAAACAAAAATTACAATCCCACATATAGTTTGATCATGGTTATATTTTCATCTCACAATATTGAATATTCTATATTTGGAGTTGGAGGTTAAAATTGGTTAACATGAATTTACACAGCCAAAATCAACAGCACAATAAGTAAAAGTAAAGCTTTAAAAAACATGATTATTTATTGGAAAAAGAATTAGACACCTGACTGATGCCATAACTTCTCATGTATCATGGTATTGCGCAGTTACGATAGGTTGCTTCTTTGAAGGAAGCTTTTTTGCTCCCAATTTTGGATCCATTGAGTTTTGGCCAATCAAGGCAGGATTCCTAATAGGAGGCTGGGAACTCTTAGCTTGCTGCCTTTCTGCGGAGGCTGTTCTTTTCCTTCACCTCTTCTTTAGTGTCAGGGATGATTACAATCACAGTTTCAGGCTTGATTGGCTTCACAGTAGCTCTCTTCTGAGAAGGAGGCTTTCTAGGCACCTCCATTTGCAGCAGCAACTCCATCCACATTCACAGCACCAATACATTTCTGCAGCAAATCAATTACTCCAAATCAAATAAATTACTCCAAAATATCTGACTTTTTAACAAAGAATATTTCTGTTCTGATCTATAAATTACTCCAAATCAAATAAATTTACAGACTAATTGACTTTTAACACTCCTTGTTTTCATACATCAAATCAGAAAAATTGAAAGAAACGCATTCCATTAGGTAACAAACACCCAAAAAAAAGGGGTTTTAACACAAAATGTTTCTGATCTATAAGGACAAGAGTCTCTTATGAATTTTATCTTAATTACTCCAAATCAAATAAATTTACATAAAAGTTGACTTCTAACAATCTTAGTTTTCATACATCAACTCAGAAACACATTACTAACTCATGAAAATAAAGATTGAAAAAAACCAATCAAGAGACCAGTATGAAATAAATCAAACAGTTCATGAACAGTCAAGAACACAACTCCCAGCCCTGGATTAGGTGAAACGAGTCCAAAAATGGGAAAATCAAGAAGCCCAAATAACCTTTATCAACCCATCAATCGAGCGATATTAAAGAATCATAGTAGTAATAAAATCTTCGAAATCAGATATATGATTACCTCCTCTATTTTGCTGTTGAACCACGGGTATTGAAGCCATTCTTTCAGATATGCCTCGGAAAATCAAATCGTCTTCTTTCTGGGTATCTCGCAGTCCTTCCTCCTCCTCCTATTCCAACTCTCTCTGAGATCTTTCTCTATATCTATAAACAAAGGAACAAGCCCGATTAGAAAAGTTGAGATGGCGCCCCCTTTAAAGCTGTGGAATAGGCGCTTCAACGGTCTTATGTTTTTGAAATCACAGCCATCTAATGTAGCCCTACAACGGTCTTACTCCAATCCTTCTTTTGAAGACAATTTTGTTCTAAGAGAGAGGCGGTGATAATATGAGAAGAGTGAGGAACAAGAAAAAGAGAGATCGGCGGTTGCGAGTGCCGAAGAGATACCACGGCGCCGACTTAAGGGAGAGGGTTTAACTAATCTTCTTTTTTTTTTTTTTTTTTTTATTCTTCATTACCAATTTTTAAAAGATAAAAAGGTAAAAAATTTGTGGGAAATTGTTTTCCAATCTTTGTCTATGAAATAAGTTAGTTAAGATTAAAATGTAATATTTATATGGTAAAATGTTATAGTAATTAGGAATAAAATGTTTATTATTTATATAGAAAAGTGTAATATGTTTACATTTTGATTTAAAAGTATTATATTAGTTTAATATAATATAAATTTATTTTTTTTAAAAAAAAAAAAAAAGAAATTTTGAACCCTTTATTTGTTTAACTATTTTAATTTTATAATTTCACTTTTAATTGCCCTATAACTTTACTAATGTATTTAACTTTTAAAATTTTATTAGGAAGATGAGTAGCGTTGGATTTATGATTTGAATTACCTTTAGACTGGAATATGAATTTTGGATATTATGTACTCTTGAATATCTTTGTATTTTCGTAAAGTGACAAAGTGTATACTATAAAGTGTAAATTCCATTTGTGATTTTAATTTTGTAATTTGTTTGCCTTTTAAGTTGTAATAACATATTAAATTGGAATTTTGTGAACATCCTGAAATTTCATTTCAAATATATTACTTTTTGATTTTTTACTCCAGATGGCAGGTTCGATGCCGCCTATAGCGGACACCTCCTGGATTGCCTTTCACCTCTCGTGGCGGAATCTATGACATGCAAGAAAATCTTGTCGTGACTTAAGGACAAGAGTACAAAGGGTTTAACTCCTCACGGATTGCTCCAATCTTCGAACGTTCTTAATAGTGAATAACACCACTTTGCGTTTGCATCTTGGTTTCATCGTCAATGAATGTCGGATCACTATGTCTACGTTTGCTCAGTGCTTAGTTAATTTTGTTCCTAAATCAACTAATTTAATTGCTCATTAGTTAGCTTCTTCTGCTTTTGCTCAAACTAGTTCGTTGTACTGAGATTCTATCCACCTGACTCTATTTTAAACTTTCTTTAATATATCATTCATCCTTATGGTTGCTTTCAAAAAAACATATGTACGTACTCAGATATAATAAAGGACCAAATTTTATATATATATATATATATATATATATATATATATATATATATATTCCGTATATATTAATTATTTTAGTTTTGTTGCAAATTAAATATTAGCTAGGGAAATGCATGCGGACTGAAAAATTGGTTTTTGATTTAGATAAGAGGAAATGGAATGAAGAGTGGATAAGATTTGAGATTTGGTCCAAGCAAAACAAATTTAAGAAAAAGGCAAATTAAAGCAATGCGGCGTAACCCATAATGACAATGACAAATGTAATTTCCGGGAAGCTATTGAGCAATAGTTATGCTGTGCAACCGAATGTACCATGCGCATGGTGCATACGGTTCAAAACGACGTCGTTTTGATTAAAAACGCGCGTCCCACTTTAAAAAAAAAAATCAGGTTCGACTCTCAGCAATAGCATTATTGTGGATATATAGTTATGAAATTGTGGTTATATAGTTATGAATTTATGGATATTTAGTTCAATCATATATTGTGGATATTTAGTTCATTCATTGTGGATTTTTACTTCATTCATTCATTCATTGTGGATTTTTACTTCATTCATTCACTGTGGATATATAGTTATGAAATTGTGGATATATAGTTATGAAATTGTGGTTATATAGTTATGAATTTATGGATATTTAGTTCATTCATTGTGGATATTTAGTTCAATCATATATTGTGGATATTTAGTTCATTCATTGTGGATTTTTACTTCATTCATTCATTCATTGTGGATTTTTACTTCATTCATTCACTGTGGATATATAGTTATGAAATTGTGGATATATAGTTATGAAATTGTGGTTATATAGTTATAATTTTCTGGATATATAAAAATGCTATTGCCGGGAATCGAACCTGATTTCTTCTTTAAGTGGGACGCGCGTTTTTTTAACCAAAACGGCGCCGTTTTGCAACCGTATACACCTTGCAAGGTGCATTCGGTTGCACAGCATAATTTGCGGCTATTGAGTACATAAGACTGATAAGAGTCCTTAGGTGTTGTTTTGCGTTAGACCACGTGTGAGTAGTCTAAATTAGTGCTGTCAATACGGGCTGGCGGGGCGGGGCGGGTCAAAGTTCGGCGGGCCGCGGGCCTAAACGGGGCGGGCTAAAAAGCCCGCTCCTAAACGGGTCTGGGTTTGATAGGCTCGGACCGCCCCGCCAATGGCCCGCGGGCTAGGCGGGCCCCCGCCGAAACCCCTTTTTTAAAAAAAAAAATTGTTCATCAAACATCTAACTAATTAAAATAAATTGATACATAAGTCATAACTCACATAAAACATAATAATCAAATATTAAATATTACATAAAGTTCAAAGTTCATAGTTTATCAAACATCAAACTAGTCACAACTACAAAGTCCAAAAATATTACACATAAAAATAATTTTAAAGTGCATATTTTATATAAAATAAAATAAAATAATGGCGGACAACCCGCGGGCCCGCACGGGGCGGGCCGCGGGCCTAAGCGGGGCGGGCCAAGAAAACCCGCTCCTAAACGGTCATCTATTTTCAAAATCGACGGACTAAGCCCATTTTGACGGCTCTAGTCCAAATTGTAGGAGTCACATTTAAGCTCGTATCATACTCAGACTAATCTCTATTAATTCGCACTAAGTCCACTCAATTAAGGAATAAAGTGCTGGCCATATTGATTTTCTATACAAGAAGGGATTCAAACTCTCAACCTCTTTTAAAGGATAGGAGTACACGGTCACTCACGTCAACCAAGCTGGTATGTAAGCCTTGTTTTAAATTAAAGCATTGCTCCTTTCAAAAAAAAAAATAAAAAGAATTAAAGCATTGCTGGTTTTGCTTCGTTTAATTTGTTGCTGGTTTTCATTCATTTGAATGACCACATGATGTGCTAATGCTAAATGATTTGGCACTATTAGGCGTTTACATGTGCTGAGATTATTAAATGTTACTGTAAATGGTACGTACATACTACACTTTAATTTTCACATGCAGCACAGTCAGCAAATTTTGTTTTAGGCCAAAAGCTGCTTTACAAAAGCACGCACTAGTGCTTCAATGTATAATAAAACTTGCTAATATAAGCTTGAAAATTGAAATACTTAATTGCTTCCCCTATTATCTCCTTAAATCCTTAGCTTCTCCCTTCTCAGCAAAATATTTCTGCCAATACTACTAAACTTCAAACAAGTGTTCAATCTAAAAGCTCCTAACACTATCCGAGAGGTGAGACGACTATATTATTTTGTACGGTTGATTTTTAGGATTATTTTTCCTAAAATTTAAATTCCATTATTATTTATCTATTTGTTGTATTATTCTCTCCTACTTACCAATTTCGTATACATACATACAGAAGATTAGATAGGGATGGCAAGATACTATGTTTTGGGGGATGATGGTAGCCATGCCGCCGCCGCCGCCGCCGCAGGCAGTAGTTTTGGTTTAATGATGATGTTTTGCGCGGTTGTTATGTCTGCCATAATCATAATTCCTATGCTTATCTTTGCTTGTGGAGACTCTAACGACGCCGATGATGGCAACGCAGCAGGACATTCCGGCGGAGCAGGCGCGATTGCAGCCACGGCCGGATCAGCTTCTATTGTTGGAGGCGGCGGCGGCGGTTGTTAAATATGTATGTATATATATGTCTATGTGTTTTATATTTTTGGTTAGAAGGAAGAAATTATGAAGGAAATGAATTGTGATTTTGTATGCCGGAATAAAGTAAGAATACAAATTATGTTATTTCATAGGAATGAATAAAAATATTGAGATTGAGAAAAAAAGTAATATAAAAATATTAAAATGTTAGTGTGTAATAATAATAATAAGAGTACGTAGTAGTACCATTTCATTCATTTTTTCCATTTTCACAATCATTGAATTGCAAGTACTCTTGAATTGCAATTCAACAAAATGAGAGAATTGTAATTTCTTGAAATTGTAATTCCTTTTAACCAAACATTGTAATTGGGATGACCATAGAATTATGGTGAAAGTAAATTGCAATAAAATATATGTCTACCAATCAACCCATTATATGGTGTATACCGGCCTGGCGTGAAATATAATTTGTGGTGCAGAAGACTGAGTCTATATATCTATAATAAACCTAATAAGAACCAATAAAGTTAGACCTCTAACGCGAAAAAAAAAAAAAGTAATGAATGGTTCATATTATATACTGAGTATTTTGATTTTAGTATTTATTATTATTATTATGCTTACTTTACATTCTATTATATCATCTAAAAAATGTTGGTATAGTTGATTTTGCATTGATATATGTCAAGATATCGAAGATATTTTGATAAATTCTAAAACACTAATTTAAAAATAGGAAATTGTCAAATTGGCCCCCTAAGTCGAGTGGATAGTGCAATTGAGTCCCCTAAGTGAAAAAAGCTCCATTTAGGTCCCCTAAACCTGTAAAATTGTTCAATTAAGTCCAAGTTGACTTGTTTATCAGGTTAAATGCATACGGTGTTGACACGTGTCCTGATTTTTTTTTTTTTTTTTATTATTAAAAATATTATTTATTATAAATTAATTAAAATAATAAAAATTATTATCAAACAGAATTAAAAAAAAAAAAAAACAAAAACAAAAACAAAAAAAAAGTCGTGGCCGAACGGCCACGCCTGTCAGGCATGGACAACCCGTGGCTGTTTTTTTTTTTTTTTTTTTTTTTTAATTAATTTGAATTATTATTATTATTATTTTAATTAATTTATAATAAATAATATTTTTAATAAAAAATAAAATAAGGACACGTATCAACACCGTATTCATTTAACCTGATAAACAAGTCAATTTGGACCTAATTGAACAATTTTACAGGTTTAAGGGGCCTGAATGGAGCTTTTTTCACTTAAGGGACCCAATTGCACTATCCACTTGACTTAGGGGCCAATTTGACACTTCTTCCTTAAAAATATACATTGGACATCAGATTATTCGCACAATGCGCGTGTGATAACTAGTGTCATATTATAAAGTAGAATATGTACTGTGATGTTTGGCGTGCAAGTTAAGCATGTTATAATTGTGTATATGTAGCCTCTCACTTCATACAGTGTGTTTATTTCCCCAAATGAGTATTTCTAGTGTTTGTTTAATTATTATAATAAAATTAGTTATTGTTAATTGTTATTGCATTATTGTACATTTGTACAGATCGGAGTATCAATTGATGTTTGGAATAAATTAAATGATTGCATTTGCATGCGGGCAGTGGTTGATACTTTATACAAGATCACAGCTTCATCAGATTCTCGATCTGCTATTTGGAATTATAAAATAACATATAAGGTCATCAATTTTATTTATGCTAATACAAATATTATTTTCACTAATTATTACTCCGCAGTTTACAACATGTTTAGTTACGGGAGAACCAATTTTAATTTATAGAAAAATAGATAACAAAAATTAATTTTTTTTCATAACTAACTATTTTTCAAATATTTGCAAATTTTAAAGGAAAAATAACGGATTTTTTCATGAATGGTACGGTGTACGTATGTATATGTCGATGTGTTTTAATTGTTGGCTTGTTAAAAACTCAAAAACTTATATACTGCGCATGTATTAGTAATTAGTATGTCTTTGGCCCTTAACCCTTGATTCCTTGAATGCTAATCTTGTGTAACACTATCCCTTACTTTCAATTTATATTTAAGTGATTCAGTTTGTTTTTGGCAATTTATATCCTACACAACGGCGCGCGTTGCACTGTGCGCCCAGATGCAAAACGACGTCGTTTTAATTTTAATTTTTTTTTTTTAAATTTCCCGCCCCAGTGTATGACAGTTAATTTTTTTTTTTTTTTTTAAATCCATGTTCAAAAATGTACATAATGTTATACTAGAAAACACATAATTGTATACATGAATGTACATAATTATATAACAAAATATACATACTCTTTTAAAAGATAATACACATAATCTAACATAATACATAATAAACATAAACTTTTAACATAATACACACAAATTTTCTGATTCGGATGTACATAATTGTATAAAAAGAATGTACATAATTGTATAAAAAATGTACATAACTGTATGAACAAATATACATAATCACAGCAACTTCCTACTGCGCCTCCCAAAACGACTCCAAAACGACGTCGTTTTGGGAGGCGCGCGGCGCACAGTGCTACGCGCGCCGTGGTGTAAGGTATAACGATTGCATATGATTAGTCTAAGTATTGTAAAAGTTTGAATGTGCCTCCTAATCTCCTATAGTTATGGTATACTAAAGACACCTCGTATTCTAACAAAAAAAAGTACTTTTAATCAGTGTTGCAAAAATTCCGTATAGGCACTGGCCTGCCGCCTAACGTATCACGATAATCAGTGATCTAGGCGGCCGGCGCCTAGGCGTCAACTAGGCCTCGTAGGCACCGACTAGGTCGTCTAGTCGGCCAATTAGCTATTGTTCCATTCTTTTTAAAATGGATTATTTCACTCAAAACGATATTATTTTGAGCGAAATAACGCTAAATTGTTCAAACTCTAAATTTTTTTAAATTAATATTTAATATTTTAATATTAATTATTATAGTATTTAATAATTTATAATTATCAAGTCTTAAAAAATTTAAATAAAAAAATAAAAAATATTTATTTATATGGGCGCCTAGGCGCACCGAGCGCCCAACGATTTTTTTCAAAAATGCTTTTAATATAATTTTAAAATCTATAAATTTTAAATATTAATATTAAACTTAATATTACAAAAAAAAATTATAAATTTTTTTAGTCAAAGTCTTGTTTTTTTTTTTTTTTTGAAAATCCGTCAAATTCTTGTTAATTGAACCACACATAAAATTTAAGAACTGCCCCGGTATCGACCCGCCTATATTTGGATCACCGGATACTCGGTCCGACTTTTTAACAAAGCTCGAAGTCTGAAACCCTAATCTACTCTGCTCACACTTATGGCTCTCGTTCTCTCCGGAGAGTCAAAACTTTAATTGCAAATCTTACATTCAATTCTTCTTCGCGAGGACAACCTTTTGTCAGCTGGCTTCATCCAAGTCCGGATTCCTGTGGTTAAACTGAATTTGTAGCCCGAACACAATGGTATTTCTTCTCATCTCTTTTTTCTTCCATATACTACAATCAGTGGCGTAAAATTTTTGGTTTGCTTGCAAGCTAATTTTTCTGTCTGAATCGTAATTAGTAAATTGCTTAAAGCCCGAAACTGAGTTGGGTTGTTAATTGTTTGACGGCAAAGCTGTCGGGCAAATTGTCCCAACTATATGGATACTGTGTAGTAGAAACTGAACTAATTTCGTGATATGTCAGAATCTTTTGATAGCCAATTACCTAGTAGGGGTTTGTTATATGAGCTTAATAGGCCTGCTACTGACCACAAAGATCCTACTTTTATGATTGTATTACCTTGCATGTTGCACAATTGCACATCATTCATTCTGAATCAATATTTCCTTGGGCACACACAAAGTGTCATTCTTCTCTTGAAAGTTGATTTCCTTGTTCTAGCAGCTATTTGAGGGGCATATTTTGTTATCTGATCATGTCTGTGATCTGCTTTGATTCGTTTGAATCTTAAATTGTTAAGATAGCTCAGTACTCTTACCTATTCTGTTTGCAGAGTGGTAGGGGTGGAAGGGATCGTCCTCGGAGGGACTATCCTCCGAGAGACTATCCTCCAAGGTCAGAGGACAGAAGCCATCATAAAAGGAGCAACCCTCCTTCAAGACATCTTTGGATAGGAAACCTCTCTCACAGTTTAACTGAAAGTACTTTCACTAATCATCTCCTGCGTTTTGGGGAGCTTGACAGCGTTGCATTTCAGCCAGGTCGCAGCTATGCCTTTGTTAATTTTAAACATGAGGAGGGAGCCTATGCTGCTATGAAACAACTCCAAGGTTTTGTTATTGCTGGAAATTCGCTTAGAATTGAGTTTGCAAAGGCGGTTAGTCTTGTCATCCTCTGCCTGTTTTCCTTTTTGAATGTATATATAAAATTGTTGGCAAGATTTCAGACTTCCTTGACTTTTGCCTAAAAAATTAATTCAAGATGCATTTTACCCCCTTAAAATTGGTCTCTTAAATAATTTTGAAACTTAGGAAAAACCAGCATAGGAGGCACTGTAAGTTGTTCTGGTTGAGGATTGCCTCATTTTAGTCAATTGCATCACCATGTTCCATACACAATGATTTGCCCTACCTTCCACTTAGTAGCAGGGCTTCATCCTCAAATAATATTGGAACTGCTGTAAGTTTTCCAGTTGAAGTGCTACTCAATTTAAACAGTGCATTACCATGGTCCATTGACCACAATGTGCTTTGCCTTCCACCACATAACACAGCTTCTTCAATCGATGTCTGTTACTTCATGATTATATGGTTCTCAGCCACATGCCATCTCTTGGTGTTATGAAATATGCTATTGCCTATCCACTACCACACACATTGTATATGGGGGGAAATTATGTTATATTGATGAGGAAAGCAGTCCACTAAACAGGTTGTTCTTTGTCTTTCCATCACCAACTCTCATGGCTATAAACTCCAAATTCATGCAAACTTTCCTTTTATATCTAGGAAATAACCTGTAGCATGCACTTTATTGCTTCTGAAAGTTGGCCTTTCTTT